AGAATAATTTTTAAATACAGCACAAGTGTGAATTAACCATTTCCACGTGAACAATCAGCATCATGTAAACAGACATACAATCATCACTTCAATGTGTCAGCTGGCTGTTTCATAGCAATAAAGGGACATTTAATTCTTTAGAGGGGATTCGATTGGCTGTGAGTCACACAGAGTAGGAGTTTATGCTATAATTATTGAGTTTAATTTTAGATATGGCACAATATGTTCTCATAATATAAGTATAACTATAAAACATAAAAAGTATATATATATATATATATATATATATATATATATATATATATATATATATAAAGAGCACAGATATATATATATATATATATATATATATGAAGAGTTCAGATGCAAAAGCCTCTAAGTAAGTCTGACGTTTTTCTTTAAAATTAGCATTTCTTTCTGGCTACTATGTATATGTTTCTATGTAAGTACTGGTACTTTTGAATGGGTTGAGGCTGGAATTTAGCACATTTGAGGTGAAAGTACTTGATGAACATATACTATGTCTGGAGAGCATTCACTCAGTATTGTTATCTGATTTTTGACCAAGATGGCTTTTAGAGGCTTTTGCATTGGAAATTATATATATATAATTATATATAGTGCTGGGCAACGATACCATTTTTTAAAATCTTGATTAATCACATGATTGGCTGCGATTAATCGAGATTAACACTTGATGGGCGAGTGCGGGTGCGGGCGGATAGACACTTGTGTGTGCGGGATGCGGGAGAATAAGGGTGTACTCACACTAGGTGTTTTGAACGTGAGCGCTTGACCCCCAAAGCCCGGTTCGTTTGACGAGTGTGATCGCTCCATGCCGCGCTCGGGCACGGTTCATTTAGCCGTCCCTGGCTCGGTTGGAGGAGGTGGGCCAGAGCGCGCTTCAGTTATATATAGATCAGGGAGTGTGAGCGCTATCCGGTGCAGAACTTATGATACGTGCTGTATGATTGTGCATATATACTGTGAGAGGGCCGTGTGTCACCGCATCCCAAACGACTCAAAATAATAAACTACAAAGTTAACAAAACGATGCACTGCACTGTGCTGAGCGAGAGTGCTTCTCTGCTGTCTTCACGTGCTATCGGAAACTTCCTATTTCCTATTTATGAAGTCGTGATAACGAGCACGTTGCATTCTTTTCTGTTTGTGAATGTTGATGCTCAGCCAAAATTATTTTATCAGGAGCGTTCATGTGAGTGCTGCTGCAGTCTTAGGTCCTCCCCAAATGCTCCCATTGGTTGAGATGCGTGATGACACCCATCCCAAGCCAGAACTGATCAACAACCCTCCCCTCCTGTGACCCATGGTTTGTCTGTATGTGAATTCAGAGTCAGTGAGCAACGGACTTTCATAATAACGCGATAAAATATTTGTTGGCGTTAATCACTTAATGCGCTAACACGATAATAACACGTTAATTTGCCCAGCCCTAAT